TAAAGTAGGAGGTAAGGGTTTGAAAGGACATTATCAAATAGGCATCAATTTTATTTTATTCCATAAACTTCTTTCAAACACTTTCGCTCACGGATGAGCAACAGTATTTTCCCGTATATCGGCTGTTGTGACTCGGATCGAAGTAAGGGTTTGAAATTAGCAATTAAAACTAATGTAGTTACCGAAGTGTTTCGATGAACATTTATAACGACTATATGGCGCTTTAAGGGATTCTGGTAGGTTCACTCAATAACTACACCATAAACAATTGATATGTACAATTTAATTTTTTGGAAAACGATACAAAAGCTATGATTAACAAAGTTTGAACAAAAATACAAGAGAAAAATAATGTTATACACAATGAGAAAATTCAGCTGCAAAAAATTAATTACAGAATGAAGAGAGGAAAAGAGATAAAGTTTTATAAAGAAAAAATGCAAAAATAAAATTATGCTTGCCAAATTAACAAATACTTGAAAGAGTTGCAACTCCAGATCAGATAATAATACCACGATGGGCCCAGACAATTGTTATGCCGCTAGGTAAAATTATACATTTTTCACGTTAGCGACAATTACTGTAATTCTTTCTACCACGCTAAAAAACTATCTATTTTTATCATCTTTTTTAAACAACTCAATCGATATTTTGTATCGAGCTTAGACGATTGATTTCCAAAGAGGTTGGAAGAAGTAAAACTGACTGCAGCACTGATTACTGAAGGCGTCATGACGTCAGAAGAGGATTGTGGTAACAGAGGCTTTAATTAGACTTACGTTAGTGGATCTTTTAGTGGGCTTGTGAAGGCTGGTACTTAAACGGTCCACTATTGGTTCTATCAAAGTTCGCCTATTTTTTTAATTCAGGTGTGTGTTTTTCTCTGACAAGATCTTACTTAAAAAAAAAAAATTCTTTCCCTAATTTTTTTTCTCGAACGACAAATCATAGAATTTGAAATACAGATAATTATGTATCCAAAAAAAAATGGTGATGAAGCTATACTGACCATATTCGGCTGGCTTTTATATTCGTATATCGTCGGTTTACTGCAAAAAGTCACTAATCGCATTTTTGATAGAGATTAACTTTAAAATATTATTTCGTGAACATCTGTTTTATTTATCAACATAAAAATTAAACAATTGCTTGGAAATTAATCAAACCCATTTATTTATCAAATAAAGTTGCAACACGCGCGCCATGTTCTCATTTAATAAAACGGTAATTCTTTAAAGTTCCTTATTATTTAAGGTTATTAAATGTCCCTTAAGGGCTTTTAGCAATAAACCGACGATATATTGCTTTAATATATTTTTATGTATTAATTTCCTCCTATATTTTTCACAGCTTACAATTTAAATACTCCATCCAATCCCGTCCCACTAGATCTCGTACTTCTGACCTCTATCCCCCTCCTCACCGAACTGCTGCGTTTGACAAATCATTTGCAATTCAAGCCGCCTTCTTCTGGAACTCCATCCCTGCTGATATTCCACACGCACAATCAGTTTCCTTAATCAAACTCTTTAAACACCTACTCTTTCTCAATCCGCCTGATTACGAAATATACCTAAGAGAGTTATATATATATATATATATATATATATATATATATATATATATATATTATATATATATATATATATATATATATATATATATATATACGCTTTTTCTCTCTATTCTTTTGTATTTTCACATTTAAATAACTAATATTGTAAATATTTACTTTATTTATGACCACATATACAAGTATTCAGTACTTATAGATTGTTCTAAAGGTCCCACATAATAAAATATGTCCCACACAGTCCCAGAATAATAAAATATATTTTCATTTCATTTTATCACTGAAAATTTTTCGATCTACGAAACCCACATAAAAGTGTTTTTATTTTCTTAATTATAAATTTATTTAACCTTGCAGACATTGTAGATGTACAATATATTTAAATTAGAAATATTTTAAATTAAAAAAGCCAAAGGACCAATTCGTTGAATTGACTTATTTTTATCCTCTAAATAATTCTGCTTTATTTCTTAAATTATACTACTTTCTTATCTACTCCAGTCTGTACTCTTTATAGTTAACGTTAAGAACCGTTTTATAAACTCTAGAAAGTTGGGTGTTCCTGTAAAAATTGTTCTAATATTCGATTTTTTGATTTCTTTTTTTGATAATTTATTTTAAGATTCCATATTTCATAATTTCTTTTTCTATTTAATGATACTTTTAATACAGAATATTGCAAAATTGCAAACCGTCTCTTAATTCAAGTAGGATATGATACAGCAGTAGAGTAGAAAACAAAACGAAAAAATATTTAATTATTTTACAATTCCGACGTTTCAAACCACAATGTAGTTCTTTATCAGGGTGAAATAGCTTCAGAAGGCAGAGCTATTTCGTTCCACTTCGGAGAGATCCACATTCAGTACTATGTAGAGAAACCAAGAGCCCCGTGAACAAATATTCGCGGACCCTCGTCAAATATTAAATTCAACACTGAAACCCGACCGTGTCCTAAATGATGTATCCAACAGCAAGATATAACATAGTTACTAAACAATATATGTTATGTTTTGTTTAAAAAATAAGTAAGGTAATAAAAACCAGTCGTTCGGGCACCAGAGTTTCAGTCTCTGGCGCTCCTTTCTTCGGCTGGGCCTCACCGAAACGTCGCCATTGTTTAAATAATTAGATATTATTATATATTTCTTCTTACCGACTCCCGGACCATCTTCTTCTCGATGTTAAATTTTAAATGTTAATTGAAGAAATTGAAGTTTTGTTAACACGAACAAAACGAAAAAGATATTCTTGTTGCAGGAGATCTTGTTTCTTCACAAATTATTAACTAAGTATTTACATCTTGAAAGATTTAATACTGGGCACTTAGTATTTGTATTTTCTATTTCAATTAAATTTCTATGGAACAATTATAAATTATATTTTAATCTAGAGTGAATTTATATATATATAGTAGAGTGGTAAGTGAAAGATGTGGGATGCGCGCACCAGATGTTTTGCATCGCAAGCCATGGCTAGTGCGCGCATCCCACATCTTTCACTTACCACTCTACTTTGAATAGATATTATTTCCTAGAAAAGTTGGACAATTACAAAGTTTTTTAAGTACATTTTAACGAAACTAAACTTTAAACTTACAAATAACCTATAAAAAGCTCATTGAGACTATAGAAATAACTTAAATCCCATTATTTATACCTGGTAGGCATTAAAAACATAAATGTTTTATTTTTTTTTTATTATTTTTTTTTTTTAATTTCTTTATTGAGTATTATAACAATCTGTCTGATTATAACAATCTGTCTGAAATGTTTTATTATTTATATAAATAAAATAAAGGTTTTGTCTGTACATTGAATAGAATCAACCCGTTTCATGATATCTTTCCGTTTCATACATTACAGACACCAAATCCACTTTTAAAAAAAATTTTGTCTATCTGTATGTCCGCATTGCAACGAAATTTTGTCAGTGTTAAGTTCAGCAATGGCTTATTGTAGACTTTTGAAAATGTGACATTATATTAAGGTTTTCTCAATTTAAAACATAGGCTTTAAATGAAAACAAAATATTGAGTAGAGCCAAAGTTATGAATTCTTGAGTAATTTGTCTGAAGATCTCGGTTAATGTTGATAATAAATGTTTATAATAAACATATGTTTATAGGTTCAAGAAAATCTATATAAATAAAAATATCTGATATGTCCACTCACACGACTTTCCTACCTATTTCAGAAAAGTTTTTATTTCTTTATATATGTTCATGAAGAAACAAAAAAGAATTGAACTAGATTTATTTTTCTGAAAGTTGATGAAATAAAAAATTTGGGTTCGATTCATTTGATAAACTAGAGCAATGTAAACCTGCTTGAGGTAGAACGGTGTAAAAATTTTAACACTCACTAATATTGCTGTTTAAAAACTTTTTGCCGTAGCTTAGTATTGTCAAACAATAATTTATGTTAAAAGTAGAGGAAATATTGAACATTGTGTGATGCGGGCAACAGATTTTCTTACTTAGTCATCTTTATTCTCTCATGCACCCATTTCTGATACCAGGATATGAACCCGTAATCTTACAATGGGAATTGAATAGCTATAACTTCTTTAATAGTTGCCCAAAATGAACGATTTTTTATTTGTTTTATTGGTACTTTAATTACCTTTTATTTTATTGTAATTTTTACCGCATAATATATACTTAGGAAGTTAGGCCTCATAACATTTATCTTTTCTTAATAACTTTTTTTCCTGAATTTTTTCAGGAATTTAGTCTATATACGAAAATTGAAAGAACAATGATTAGAACATTATGGAAATGTTCCATTCAAATCGTTAGAGCCGTTTTCGCGCTATAGTCTATAGGAAAACATGTTTTTCATTTATTGCGCATTGAGTACCGAATTTCTGTCACAGGCAGCAATAGTCAAAATCCTACAAAACCAAAAAAAAAGCAATAAAATCTGGCTAAAAATGTGTTTTTTGGACTAGGGGTGCTCTGAAATGTATAGATCTGTCGACAACCGCATATCGCAAATTTGACCCGATTGCAATACTTTCCTTACCTAATATAGAAAGATCGTAGTTACCTCTTTTTTGGGTGATTTACTAAATTTCATATTATTAAAAACAATCTTTAAATTTTAGGTATTTAAATTGTAGGAGGTCCTTGAAGCCCGTAGTTAAGAGACCCCTGATTAAAAATCCATAACAAAACAGTCTTTCAAATTCATTTTTTATAGATAAAATAACTGAAGAAGCAGGTATATAGGCAATTATTACCACCAGCACCCAATATTCAGATATCTAAGCCTTTTACATTTAAAAAACCAAAAAAAAAAAAACCTGAATATCAATTTCATCAACGATATCTATCAATATTCGTTACAAAATTAAAAACAAAAGGATAACATTTTGTGATAAGTAAAATGTTTTCTAAGACATCTACAGTAAATGTATACCTTTCCTAAAAGAGAAATTCCGTGAGACCTTCGGAGAGAGAGAATTCACCGTGAGGGACCTCTGGTTTGAGTCTCGCGGAACAATTCCAAAAAGAACAAGGAGCTTCCTCGAAGAATTGGGTATCGACATTAAGGATGTAGCGAGGTTGGCTGAAAATATAGTCCTCGACTCCCTGGGAACCATTCATTACCACGTGCATGGCTAGGTTGGGAGTTTTAATTTATCTATTTATTTAATGAAAAATTGAAAAAAAAAAATATAGATAAATAAAGAGAAGTGAGAGAAAGGTAAATAAAATGTTTAAAAATAATAATAATAATACATATATATATATATATATATATATATATATATATATATAAATAAATATTTTATGCTCATACATATTGTTAATCCTATATAGTTATATATTATTTTAAAATTTTCTGTAGTGATTATTAAGTATACTGTGTTTTTAGCAACCCAATGTAATTGGGCAGCACCATTTTATGATAATAAACTGATTCTCTCTCTTGCTAGGGCTTACACTGCGAAGCATTATATCTGGGGTCACTCTCTATACAACATTATTGTCACAGTAGTTGGCAATGGAACTCAAGGAAAACAAGCACCAGATGGATAGATAGAATAAACAAACAGAAAGTGGAACAGGCTTGTTAAGAAAACGATATACAAGGTCTGCAAACCCAGCCTATAAATAAAATAAGAAAAAATCAATTGTTATAGGAAGTGTTAAATTTATTTATTTGATACAGAAAAGCTGCAGTTTGATCTATAAAGTTTAAATTAAATAAATAAAAAGCTAGGATTATAAAGAAATTCCCATTCATCATTTATAATATAATCCATATCATATGATATGTAGATAATCAGATGGGATCAACTCGAATACATGCGCCTAGTTTGAAGCAGAATCCATCAGGTAGTCTCTACATTACAGCAGTTCGCTAGAGACTACTTGGAATGCCAAAACAAAGTGAGTACAATTTCAACAAAGATACTGCAAGACTGTATACATGTAGATGAAAAATAATAATAGTCCGTGAAAGAAAAATGGTGGAGAAAGTTGGTTGGAGTAGTAAAAAATCTACAAAGTCAGTAAAGTTAACAGAAAAAAACAAATCGGAGCGAAATAAAAATTGTACTGGCCAAAATGTTTAGTAATATTTGGAATTAGCAACGATTTTAGTATAATTATATTATTACGGTTATTATTATCGTATCAACTATCTTTATTTAACAAAATTTTAAAAATCTCTCACAAATTACTATTAAATATTTCAAAATAAATGTATCGTTTTAAATGAACTTTAAAATTTCTAAGAACACATTATTAGAGATTTCAAATAATAACAATATAGGAGCTAAATATCTTTATATATTATTTCTAAAAGGTTTTTTTTTTTCGATACGCCTTTATCTTCTTCAATTCATCATCAAATCCAATGATTGACACCTAATTTTGAAGATCTTTTTCTCCTTCACTTGCGAGAAATAACAATATCCCCCCGAAATGTTTGGAATAGAATCTGTAATTGAAGAAAGGTTACTAAATACCCTGCCAAAAAAAAAAAATAGTAAAAATCGGTCCATCATTAACAAAGATACAGTCCATTAGATTTAGTGTACTTTACTATTCCATGCATTTGCTATGCATTAGTATGCGTTTATTGTTCCACTAACGTTATTTTTTGCAGCCCGATATATACTTTATTATTTCTTAAAGGCATTTTTTGTGAGTATTTTTTTAATAATTTAGAAAATACCATGATCGTGGTTTTATTGAATATTATCTTTCCCATCCGTGTTTAAAAATTGGCCCTAGAAAACTAATTTGTACAAATATTTCAGGGTACTTGTTGTTGTTGTTGTTTTTTTTTTTTTTGGCGGTCGTTTAATGTGTGTGGAACCCCACTTTCAAGCTATATTACCTTTCCAATCGCCTCGAGGTGGTCATCGATGGTCGATTTGCTAAGGTTGATTTCCCCTGCAAGTTCTCGAACAGTTGTTCTGGGGTTTTCTTCCACCAAAGCCTTGGGAAAATCGTCATCAAGAGAGGAAGTCCTTTCACGACCTTCTTTGTCTTCAAGGCTGAAGTTTCCCTCCCGAAATCGTTTGAACCACCGTTGTACAGTACACTTGTTAACGCTGACCTCGCCCCAGACTTCATTGATGTTTGTGGCCGTCTGGGCCTAATTCCGGCCGAGTTCAAACTCGTAAAACAAAATTATATGAGAATCACGCGTTGACATCTTAGTAAAGACTTAGAATTATTTCTAAGCAGCGAAATGATATAGAGGTAAACAAACATTATCGTTTGGAAGAAGATTAATAAATGTTGACATTCATACCAATTTATAATCCAGTAAACGTAAATAATATGTTATATAGAGGAGTATTTTAATGAAAACTCAAAATCTTGTATTATTTCCCGGAAACGCCAATAGAATAATATATTATAATTCTATATATAAATGTAGCATTAATAGTATTTAACATGGTTTAGATAAAATTTGTAAAAAACGAAAAACTTAAATATTTGTTTCAATTGGGAATGAAGTATATACATATACGAATTCCCCTAATAAGTGTTTTGATATTACTTTTTGCAGAAGTTTAATCTCTTTATAGATTGAGAGCTACTAAATACCGTACATTCTTCCTATTAATGCATTATATTGAACTGCAAACATACTAGTAAGGTTTATTTCATTATGTATTGTAATTAAAGAAGGTTTTAGGGATGCATAATAAACCCGTGGGTTATACGTGAATCCTCTTAATAGACTCATTAAAATGTTCTTTAATAACGAGGATAAGTTTTAATTAGCCTCTATTGTCAATAGGGAGCGAGGTAACTTAGTGGCCGGAATCATCGCTTCTTATGCTAAAGGTCACTTGTCCAATTCAGCTAGTACACTAAGATTTCTCTTATCCAAAACTTTGTCTAGGTCAATGCTATAATAGTTCGACAGACCCTTCAGGTTCCACTAAGTTATAAGTACCAAATAATAATCAATGATGAACGGTCAAAGCTGGCATAAGTTCTTTATATACTTATCTTTATATATATATATATATATATATATATATATATATATATATATATATATATATAATATATATATATATATATATATATATATATTGAATTTCCAGGGAAGCTATATTTCCAGGAAGAATATATATATATATTGAATGACACTGTGAATGTGACAACCTCCCCCAAGGTCGATGGCGTTTGATCCTTCCCTTTTCCCTCCCCAAGATGTTATATTGCTCTGTTCTTCTTAAAAATCTTAGAAATGAAATTAGTGTAGGTCATATTCAATTACACTTTCTGAGGTTTGTTCTATATATTCCCTTTGTTTACTGGTTTGAAACTTTTCAATCAGAAATTTCAAAACCCCGTCGAAATTCACCTCCTCAAAAATTCAAAATCCCGTAAAAATGTGCCCGCTTAAAAAATTTAGATGGCGCGATCGGGGCCATGGAACCATCTTCTAGGCACCCCTGTGAAAAACGTTTAATACCAGATTACTCCGTCATTTTTTTTTTTTTTAATTACAATATAATTAACAAAGGGAGGCTAAAGTCAGTGGGTCACCGATTTCCAATCAATTTTTTTTTTTTTTTTTTGGTGATATCTCGAAAAATATTTCACACATGGGCCGGCATTTGTTCCAATAGATATTAGAAGCCCTGGGCGGAGTGGCCGAATGGGCCAACGCGTGTTTGTTTTTTCTTTTGGCATTGCAAACCATGTAGATCTTTTGCCGCCTTAACAAACCTGCTCTATCTCCGTCTTTAATTTCTTTCCATTTATCTGCACGCTGGTCTATTGCATCTTTGTTGACACTATCTATCCAGCTTTTTGGTCTTCCACGTGGGGATTTGCCTTCTATTGAGGCATCCATTACAGAGGCTTCCCAATCAATCCAACCAATCCACTACAAGCTACATGGCATATATATATATATATATATATATATATATATATATATATATATATATATATATATAGATATATATATTATAATTTTTTCTTTTCTTTTTTTTATGATTCTACTTTTGTATATTATAACTTAACATATGAATTATAGTCGGATAGTAGCTCATGAAATTTTATTTCATGACCTATTATTAGATTTTCCAATCATCCGACTATAATTCATATCTTAAGTTATATATATATATATATATATATATATATATATATATATATATATATATATACACATACATATATATATATATATATATATATATATATATATATATATATACACACATACATATATATATATATATATATATATATACACACATACATATATATATATATATATATATATATATATATATATATATATATATATATATATATATATATACACATACATATATATATAACTTAAGATATGAATTATAGTCGGATGATAGGCAAATCTAATAAACATAAACTGTAAAACATAATCTGATAAAACAAAACTGTAAATATTAAAATGATTGCTTTCAGTTTAAGACTCTATGTATAAATATGGACTGTTAGGTTATTATTAATCACAATTATAGGCAAATATCAGATTAATAGTTTTAGTTAAATATTTTGTGTATATACACATATATTAATAGTTTATTATTATATCGTTTGATGCGATATAGTTATTATAATATTGATTAGTTGTGTTTTGATTGATTTTAGTTTTGTTATTATAATACTGATTGAGTTTAGTTTAAGGATTTTGTGTACATATTTTGTTTATTAGCTTATTATTTGTGTTAGGTTATTAAGTTGTGTTTTGATTGATTTTAGATTTTGGTTAATTTAATATCGAATGGGTTTAGTTTAAGATTTTGTGTACATATTTTGTTTATTAGGTTATTATTTGTGATAGGTTATTAAGTTGTATTTTGATTGATTTTAGTTTTTGGTTAATATAATATCGAATGGGTTTAGTTTAAGATTTTGTGTACATATTTTGTTTATTAGGTTATTATTTGTGATAGGTTATTAAGTTGTGTTTTGATTGATTTTAGTTTTTGGTTATTATATCGAATGAGTTTAGTTTAAGATTTTGTGGATATATTTTGATTAGTAGGTTATTATTATATGAATGAAGGATTATTGATTAATATAGAATATTATTGATTTTTATATTGCTATACTGATTACTATATTACTTATTGATTACTATATTGTCGACTAATTATTATTAATCTCTTAGTTATTACCTCAAGTCATTGCCATTCGTTGCCATGTATATATAAACATTCATTATTAGGATTTTAGATTATAGTTATTAGATATAGCTCTATAACTACAATATATAGTATAATATATTTAATTATAAAATATTCTTTATTGTTTAGGCTCAAGAGAGTGTAGATATTAATTATCAAATATCAGCTGTATAATATCGGTATCTTTTATAATTACTTTGCAATTATTGATTATAATAAGTATTATACAATAGTTTAAGTTATTATGTAATAGTCTCAGTCTAATCTTAACTACTAGACTCGGTGTCTCTATCGAAGATTATGTGACGATAACTGTTACTTCTATTTCTTTTGACCACTGGTTTAATATCGCGTGTTATTCATTACTGTGTTTTGCGATCATTGACTATTTTAAAATGCCCAACAACGACAATCCGCTCGGAAACGCTATAAAAACATTAGCTGAAGTTTCTGAATTTTCGATTTTAAGGAAAGACCTTAAAATAAATCTCCTCAAAGCGATAGACGATATACAAAATTACGTACATTACACTTCTTCTATCTTGAATCAACCTATAAGAAATGAAACCATTAATGAGACTACCAACCTTACACCATCTTATTCACAGGTATCAAAACCCAATCGAAAGTTGCCATCATTTAACCTCATTATCAAAAGTAAATCGAAAAAGGACGCAGAAGTACTAAAAAGGGAATTCAAAACGGTCATAAAGCCAAAGGATTTACAAATTAGAATCAATAAAATCTCTGCTAAAAAAGACTCCATTATAGTTGAAACCAATACACCACATGAAAGAGAAATAATTCAACAAAAACTACAAAACGCGCAAGATCTGTTTGTCCGGCAAGCCAACAGAAGAAAACCAAAATTAATCTTCAAAGACATTGACGAAGAAGAGACCATAGAGAATTTCACGGAACATCTCGTGAAACAGAACGCGGCGCTGGAAATTGATCCGAGCTCGATAAGGCCTGTCATCTTTCTGAAGAATCGACGGAACAATAGGATCCACGCGGTAATCGAAACCGATGCTGCCACAAGAACCAAATTAATATACAAGATAGGATTGGGACATAAGAAGCACTGGGCAGAAGACTATTGGAGGATTCGCCGGTGCACCAAGTGCTGCAAATTCCACCACTCCGAGGATCAGTGCCAAGGAACGACCACCTGCCCCAACTGCTGCGGCAGCCATCGGCTGAAGGACTGCTGCGAACCAACTCGTAAGTGTCCCAACTGCTCTAACTTTAACCGACATGTCCGACAAGACAAAAACAAAATAGACCATAACCATTCTGCACTAGACCGAAACTGTCACTCATTCATAAGAGAAATTAACAAACTATCACAAAACACAGACTACTAACTTTACTTCAGTATGGACAGACTTCTAAAGATAATACAGTTAAATACACATCATTCGAAATCAGCGACAGACTACTTGAACCATTTTATACAAAGCGAACACATAGACATTACTCTTATTCAAGAACCGTACACACGAAATAACAAAGTAACAGGATATTCACAAAGATATCAAATTTACCAAACATATGACACCAAACCTAGAACTGCTATCATACTCAACAACAAACTTGCTGATGCAATATTACTATCCCAACATAGTGACTCCGACTTTTGCGCCATAGAAATTACTATCATAAAATCAAAACTCATTTTTATAAGCTCATATTTTGACGAACAGACAGACATTAACAAAGACTTCGCGAAGATTGATGCAATCATAAAACAATACAAAAATTACCAAATAATTCTATGTATCGATTCGAACTGCCGATCACCTTTTTGGCACGACTCTAAGGTTACCCCAAGAGGCCGAGCTTTAGAATCATACATTATGTCTAATCACCTAATATTAATTAATAGACCTTCTACGATGACTACTTTTGAAGGATCAAGGGGGA